TAATATTCCAAATGCATGTCCAGACACTTGATCGAGTAGATGGTTGTTTATCTAGAAGACTTGGTTCACATGTTGAGTGGTTGACTAAGTACCATAAGCTGTAGTACTAATAAACTGTAGTTGTCCCCTATCCTCCCGGCCGGCTCGGTCCTCCCCTCCTGCTCACAGAAGAGGGCTCCGGGCAGCCGAGCGGAAATGGAGGAAAACTAGACTCCCTGCGGACCTGTCATCTTTTCACTCCCTCCTCTCTACATTCTCTTCCTCTGTTTCCGCTGCTAAAGCCACTTTCTACCACTCTAAATTTCAAGCCTCTGCCTCTAACCCTAGGAAGCTCTTTGCCACCTTCTCCTCCCTGCTGAATCCCCCTCCTCCTCCCCCTCCCTCATCCCTCTCTGTGGATGACTTCATCAACCATTTTGAAAAGAAGGTTGACGACATCCGATCCTCATTTATTAAGTCAAATGACACCGCTGGTCCTGCTCACACTGCCCTACCCTATGCTTTGACTTCTTTCTCCCCTCTCTCTCCAGATGAAATCTTGCGACTTGTGACGGCCGGCCGCCCAACAACCTGCCCGCTTGACCCTATCCCCTCCTCTCTTCTCCAGACCATTTCCGGAGACCTTCTCCCTTACCTCACCTCACCTCGCTCATCAACTCATCCTTGACCGCTGGCCATGTCCCTTCCGTCCCTCAAAAAACCTACACTCGATCCCTCCGATGTCAACAACTACAGACCAGTATCCCTTCTTTCTTTTCTCTCCAAAACTCTTGAGCGTGCCGTCTCTAGCCAACTCTCCTGCTATCTCTCTCAGAATGACCTTCTTGATCCAAACCAGTCAGGTTTCAAGACTGGTCATTCAACTGAGACTGCTCTTCTCTGTGTCACGGAGGCTCTCCGCACTGCTAAAGCTAACTCTCTCTCCTCTGCTCTTATCCTTCTAGATCTATCCGCTGCCTTTGATACTGTGAACCATCAGATCCTCCTCTCCACCCTCTCCGAGTTGGGCATCTCCGGCGCTGCTCACTCTTGGATTGCGTCCTACCTGACATGTCGCTCCTACCAGGTGGCGTGGTGAGAATCTGTCTCCGCACCACGCGCTCTCACCACTGGTGTCCCCCAGAGCTCAGTTCTAGGCCCTCTCCTATTCTCTCTATACACCAAGTCACTTGGCTCTGTCATATCCTCACATGGTCTCTCCTATCATTGCTACGCAGACGACACACAATTAATTTCCTCCTTTCCCCCTTCTGATAACCAGGTGGCGAATCGCATCTCTGCATGTCTGGCAGACATATCAGTGAGAATGTCGGATCACCACCTCAAGCTGAACCTCGGCAAGACGGAGCTGCTCTTCCTCCCGGGGAAGGACTGCCCGCTCCATGATCTCGCCATCACGGTTGACAACTCCATTGTGTCCTCCTCCCAGAGTGCAAAGAACCTTGGCGTGACCCTGGACAATACCCTGTCGTTCTCCGCTAACATCAAAGCGGTGACCCGATCCTGCAGGTTCATGCTCTACAACATTCGCAGAGTACGACCCTACCTTACACAGAAAGCGGCACATTCCTAACCCAGGCACTTGTCATCTCCCGTCTGGATTACTGCAACTCGCTGTTGGCTGGGCTCCCTGCCTGTGCCATTAAACCCCTTCAATTTATCCAGAACACTGCAGCCCGTCTGGTGTTCAACCTTCCCAAGTTCTCTCATGTCACCCCGCTCCTCCGCACACTCCACTGGCTTCCAGTTGAGGCTTGCATCTACTACAAGACCATGGTGCTTGCCTATGGAGCTGTGAAGGGAACGGCACCTCCTTACCTTCAGGCACTACGTTCATCCACCTCTGGCCTGCTAGCTCCCCTACCTCTACGGAAGCACAGTTCCCGCTCAACCCAGTCAAAGCTATTCGCTGCTCTGGCACCCCAATGGTGGAACAAGCTCCCCCACGACGCCAGGACAGCGGAGTCACTGACCACCTTCCGGAGACACTTGAAACCCTACCTCTTTAAGGAATACCTGGAATAGTATAAAGTAATCCTTCTTCCCCCACCCCCCATAAAAATTTTTTTTTTTAAAAGATGGTTGCCCCACTGGCTATCATAAGTTGAATGCACCAATTTGTAAGTCGCTCTGGATAAGAGCGTCAGCTAAATGATGTAAATGTATATGTAAATGTAGTACTAATGAACTAGTACTTATAAACTGTAGTACTAATAAACTGTAGTACTAATAAACTGTAGTACTAATAAACTGTAGTACTAATAAACTGTAGTACTACTGAATCACCATGAGGTTTCATAATCGATCGTGTTGTCGCATACAATAGAATACCAATGTTGAGGCACTGTCCTGCCTAAACATTACAAGCTGCCACACTCAACTACAGTTTAATGTAACAACAGATATGGTAAATTTTTATCACAAGTGTTATATTTAAAATCTAAAGCTAGCTAAGATATGATAGATAAGGCTGGAGATACAGAAAGCAAATTTCAAGCAACTAATACTACAATGTAGCTGCTGGTTTAATGGACAAATTTGATCAGCAGTGTATTAATCATCCGGGTAACCTACAACATGCTTGGGTTATTTATTTTTATAGCTAGTCTGTAGTAGCTAAAAACCGCCACCTTGTGGGCAAGAGCTATAACAATATTATACATTCAGTACATGACAAAAAAAATCTAATTTTCCTTCATGTTATTTCTCTCTCTCTCTCTCTCTCTCTCTCTCTCTCTCTCTCTCTCTCTCTCTCTCTCTCTCTCTCTCTCTCTCTTAGTGTTTGTGCCGAGGCAATATCTACCCTTACATCGGGTTCTTTGCAAAGGGTTATGGGAAAAAATACAAGCCACTTCGGGCTTATTTACTCACCTTCTTCATTGCTATTGCCTTCAGCCAAGTTAACAAACAGATCACAGAACATTTCGAATCCCACCGTACCTTCTCCGCTATGCAATCCAGTTTCCGAGCTGGTCATGGGTGCACCTCAGCCACGCTCAAGGTCCTAAACGATATTATAACCGCGATCGATAAAAGACAGTACTGCGCAGCCATCTTCATCGACCTGGCCAAGGCTTTCGACTCTGTCAACCACCGCATTCTTATTGGCAGACTAAATAGCCTTGGATTCTCTAATGACTGCCTCGCCTGGTTCAGCAACTACTTCTCAGATAGAGTTAATTGTGTCAAATCGGAGGGCCTGTTGTCTGGACCTCTGGCCGTCTCTATGGGGGTGCCACAGGATTCAATTCTCGGGCCGACTCTTTTATCTGTGTATATCAATGATGTTGCTCTTGCTGCTGGTGAAGCTCGGATCCACCTCTATGCGGACGACACCATTTTGTATACATCTGGCCCTTCATTGGACACTGTGTTAACAAACCTCCAAACAAGCTTCAACGCCATACAACACTCCTTCCGTAGCCTCCAACTGCTCTTAAACACTAGTAAAACTAAATGCATGCTCTTCAACCAAACGCTGCTTGCACCCGCCCACCCGACTAGAATCACTACTCTCCGCGGGTCTGACCTAGAGTATGTGGACAACTACAAATACCTAGGTGTCTGGTTAGACTGTAAACTCTCCTTTCAAACTCACATTAAGCATCTCCAATCAAAAGTTAGATCTAGAATCGGCTTCCTATTTCGCAACAAACTGACTATCCTACCGATCCTTGACTTCGGCGATGTCATTTACAAAATAGCCTCCAACACTCTACTCAGCAAATTGGATGTAGTCTATCACAGTGTCATCCGAATTGTCACCAAAGCCCCATATACTACCCACCATTGTGACCTGTACGCTCTTGTTGGCTGGCCCTCACTACATATTCGTCGCCAAACCCACTGGCTCCAGGTCATCTATAAATCACTGCTAGGCAAATCCCGTCTTACCTTAGCTCACTGGTCACCATAGCAACACCCACCCGTACTCTGCGCTCCAGCAGGTATATCTCACTGGTCATCCCCAAAGCCAACACCTCCTTTTGGCCGCCATTCCTTCCAGTTCTCTGCTGCCAATGACTGGAACAAACTGCAAAAATCTCTGAAGCTGGAGACTCTTATCTCCCTCAATAACTTTAAGCGTCAGTTGTCAGAGCAGCTTACTGATCACTGCACCTGTACACAGCCATTCTGAAATTAGCCCACCCAACTACCTCATCCCCATATTGTTATTTATTTTGCTAATTTGCACCCCAGTATCTCTATTTGCACATCATCTTTTGCACATCTATCATTCCGGTGTTATTACGAAATTGTAACTATTTTGCACTATGGCCTATTTATTGCCTTACCTCCATAACTTACTACATTCGCACACACTGTATATATATTTTCTGTTTGTATTTTTGACTTTATGTTTTGTTTACCCCATATGTAACTCTGTGTTGTTGTTTTTATCACACTGCTTTGCTTTATCTTGGCCAGGTCGCAGTTGTAAATGAGAACTTGTTCTCAACTGGCTTACCTGGTTAAATAAAGGTGAAATAAATCTTCATTGGTGGGTTTGTATTGGTATTGCCTTCATCCTCGTTGGTGGGTTTGTATTGGTATTGCCTTCATCCTCGTTGGTGGGTTTGTATTGGTATTGCCTTCATCCTCGTTGGTGGGTTTGTATTGGTATTGCCTTCATCCTCGTTGGTGGGTTTGTATTGCTATTGCCTTCATCCTCGTTGGTGGGTTTGTATTGGTATTGCCTTCATCCTCGTTGGTGGGTTTGTATGTCAGATATAGGCCATAACATGAAACCCTTTTTTCAAATAATATTATATTTTTATCTGTAGAATACCTCTCCCTCCCTCAATCCCTCCTTCCTCACATCTCTGTTTCTCTCTCCTTGTCTTTCTTTCAGCTGAGTTGAATATCATCGCAGCCCTGATTTCCAATTTCTTCCTGTGCTCCTACGCCTCATCAACTTCAGCTGCTTCCATGCCTCCATCACTAACTCACCTAGTGAGTGACTGATTGAGAGTAAGGGGAAGTTGTCTCTAAATACTGGTATGAGGTATGTTTTTGCATTGCGTTTTTTAGGGTACACTTTACATTTAGGTACGGATCTGTGCTTACTTATTAGGCTGTGGTGTAAAGGACTTAAGTAAAAATAATTTAAAGTACTACTTAAGTAGTTTTTTGGGGGTATCTGTACTTTACTTTACTATTGATCTTTTTGACAACTTTTACTTTTACTTCACCATATTTATAAAGAAAATAATGTACTTTTTACTCCACACATTTTCCCTGACATTCAAAAATACTCGTTACATTTTGAATGCTTAGCAGGACAGGAAAATGGTCAAATTCATGCACTTATCAAGAGAACATCCCTGGTCATCCCTACTGCCTATGATCTGGCGGACTCACTCAACACAAATGCGTCATTTGTAAATTATGTGTGAGTGTTGGAGTGTGAATAAATATAAATAAGAAAATAGTGCCGTCTGGTTTGCTTAATAATAATTTATAATTTTACTTACTTAAATTACATTTACTTTTGATACTACAGTATATTTAAAACCAAATACTTTAAGACTTTTACTCTATTAAGGTATATTAACAATTGGGTACTTTTTCCACCACTGTTATTAGGAAACTTGTCATTTTAAAAGAGTAGGTTAACGGTACCTTGTTTGATTAGTTTGATTATTCAATTTTGAGATGGTAAAGCTGACCCAAAATCTGGTTTTAGGCTGGGGAAATCTCAATGTGTCTCTAACTGGCCACTCAATGTATCTAACTCAATGTGTATGTACTGTAATGAATATTTACCTCCGTCTAACTCTTCCCTTTGCTTCCCCCTGCAGGTTGGAGGCCGTCATTTCGTTATTACAGCAAGTGAGTGGCTCTGTTTGGGCGGTGATCTCTGTGCTGCTCATGTTCCTGTTGACATGGTGGGTGGCTCTCTTTACCTTCTGCATCATCATTTTTCTCCTGGGATACGTCACCTACAACAAATCAATTGAATTTACCACAAGTGGACTCCAATCAAGTTGTAGAAACATCTCAAGGATGATCAATAGAAACAGGATGTACCTGAGTTCAATTTCGAGTCTCATAGCAAAGGGTCTGAATACTTATGTAAATACGGTATTTCTGTTTTCTATTTTTAATACATTTGCTAAGAAATTTTAAAAACTTGTTTTCGCTTTGACATTACGGGGTACTGTGTGTAGATTGAGGAGGGAAAAAATATTTTATCAATTTTAGAATAAGGCTATAACGTAACAAAATGTGGAAAAAGTCAAGGGGTCTGAATACTTTCCGAATGCACTGTATACTTCATAACTCGTTTCTTTCTATTTTCTGAACTGTCTATTGTTCTTTAAGTATATTGAGACATGAATTTGTTAAATTTCACTGTCAATAAAAGTTGATTTTTTTTTTTTCTTTGTTATCAGTATGATCTTACTGCTACAGAAGTTCCATCTGGATGTTCATGATGTCATCGTTATGACAGACAGTGAGAAACCACCTCAAGTCAAAAAGTAGGTTTAGAAATCACTCAAACACAGTAACACTTTATCACGTTCGTTGAGAGACGGGTCAGACCAAGGTGCAGCGTGGTATGCGTACATGTTTATTAGAACAAATAAACACTCGACAAAACAACAAAAGCAACGTAACGTGAAGCTCACAAAGGCTACACACAAACAAGCCAAACCAGAGTCAAGATCCCACAACTAAGGTAGGCAACCAGGCTACCTAAGTATGATCCCCAATCAGAGACAACGAGCGACAGCTGCCTCTGATTGGGAATCACACCCGGCCAAACCTAGACATACACATACTAGATCTCCAACATAGAATATAATCACATAGATCTCAAACTGAAACTCACACCCTGAACCAACCAAAAAGAGTTCTCAAGGTCAGGGCGTGACACACTTACACACAAATGTGTCTGTGCAGACACACACATTCATATAAAGTGACCCACCACCTGGATTCCGTCCTATGTAGCATCATTTGAAATAGGATGAAAGTAGAGACAGAGCTAGACAATTGTATATCATACACTGCAGTTGAGGAACAATGGGAAAATAATCCTGCTTTGAAAGTTGATAAACTTGTAAACCCACTTGAATGTTTTGGTACACCTACTGGAGAGCTCTTCTTTGTCTACACCCATTCAGCATTGTTCACACCCTCTTAAGCCTTAGCCCCACCCATCTCTTTAAGGATTCACATGTGAGGCCATGTGCTAAACAGAGTGAGTAGTGTAGTAAACAACCAAAGATGTCAAGACTAAAGGTTGTAAAAGTAGTTGTCTACAATAAGGAAAAACTCCTGGTAAAAATACACTTTATCTAGTCCTTGGCCTGATCTGACTTTGGTGCAGGTCATGTTGCTCTTCACTTTACCATCTCTGGTAAACACACACACTATATCAAATAAAAGCTATTTTTATTTGTCACATGGACAGGATACAGAAGGTGACGCTTACCCAGACACACTTGTCTAAATTGATGGCTCATGTGAAATAAATGGTATACCACCCCTAAGCCAAATCTAGTCCTTGTACATAGATGAGCTTTATCACCCCTAGACACACCTGGCTAACTTGATGGGTAATGTAATAATCTGTCGAAGTGGAGTCTTTTGTTTATACATGTAGCTAGATAGCTAGCTAAACAATGAACCGGCATACTGTAATCCCGACTCATACTACTACCAATACAAACGGATTGTCATAGCTGTAGTATGAATCTTCAGGTAGTTAAAGCTAACCAACTAGGTTCAATGTTAGCTAGCTAGCATTGGGCTATAACTATCAATGCAAATCGATTTCTGATTAGAATAATATTACTACACAGATCATACACATAACGCTAGCTAGTGAGCCAACAAGCTAACGTTTGCTAGCTAGATAACAGTACACTTGAACTTGCAATGAAAACGACTGTCTGACTAAATAATAAACGCTCACGTTATAGACAAAAGCATGCTACATGGCAGACCAATCCAAACTCATCTCCTGGCATGTCCAGCCCATCCATTATCTCAGCCAATGATGGCTAGCGGCAAGGTTCCTGTCTTTTTCTGTGGCTAAACCAACCAGGCTCGTAATTTAACAATTGTATTTGTATTTACAGATGGAATAGAGGTTTGTTATTAAGGCACATGAAAGCTCACATGTTCCAGAAGGCATTTCTCCCAAAAAACACATTTTGATAAAATAAAAAAATAAAAAACATTAAAATGCCTCTCCTGTGAAATAGTGACATACGCCTAGCTTCCTGAAACGGGTCACATATGCACACACACTGTCCCTAGACCATAATTGCTATTACTTCTACTATAGCTGCTATGTCCTTAGCCCATGAGAGCAGAGGAGAAATTAAAATTAACCATTTTGATTGAGAGTTACTGGTGGTGTCTTCTATGTTCTATGTTCAGTCTCAGGAAATTTGAAGACACTGTCGCCCCCTTCAGGCTAAGAGATGAACAGCAGGGAAGGACAGCCCCTGGAAGATATCTGACAATGAACTGAAGGCCCTCAGACAGAAGGTGTGTGTGTGTGTGTATTTTTCTTTCATTCATTCTTTCTTACTCTTACCATTTCCCCCTCTTCTCCTCCCACAGTCTGAGCGGAAGGTGAGTCTGAATGAGATCATCTGCAGGAACTCACAACATGCTGCTCTGGTCTTAGTGTGAGTATATACCTTATCATTCTCACTGTCAGGCACCAGGCCCTATTCAGTCCAAGTCATTATGAGATGATTATAAGGCATTATAAGGGAGTCGTACTCATGACAGTTCTTACAATGCATTATAACTGCATCATAATGCATCGTACCTACATGCTTTAAGTAAATTATGTCATTGTTTATAATAGTTATGACCACCCATTATGTTATAATGTCTCATGTTGCTGTTATGAAAGCTTTATGAATGTATACATAAGGGGGCCTGTAGTAAAGTGTTATCTTTACGTATTTGTACTGTATAGGAGCCTGCCAGCGCCCCAGTCAGGCTGCCTTAGTGCACTCTACATGGCTTGGTTGGATAGCCTTACCTGTGGTCTTCACTGTCCCACTGTCCTCATACGAGGCAACCAGCAAAATGTTCTCACCTTCTACTGCTTGTAACTAACCATCCACTGAGGCAGCTTTTTCTCAAACCTCTCCTCGGAGACCACCAGCCAGCCGTTTCATGTATTTGAACTATATTTCAGAGTTAGGACACCTGATTCCACTTGTCAACTAATCATTAAGCTTTGGGCTATAGACATAGGATCTTAATTTGCGCCAGTTTGCTACAGCAGGAAAATAATCCTGCAGCAACAGGAAATGTGAATTATTATGTGGATTATAATTAATGGACATTTTTACTTGCAAGAGTACATGGCACTCTTGCAGGTAACATTAAATAATCATTACAGTAGATCATCTACTTAGAATAAATATATACTTATACTTATAAAATAATTCTCAAATGTACTCTTAATTATGTTTTGCATGCTGTGTCATGTCAGAATATGAGTGTCCCCAAGGGCCAAAATATGAGCTTTGTTTCCATACCAACAGCATGGTGTTGTTTCTCTCTTACAGGACACTGTTCATCCACATCATGCCTTCCTAATAACCAGGATCACTTTGTGAATTTGAATAAGATCTGGACTGAAGCACAGAGCTACTGCAGAGACAAGTACACTGACCTGGCCACCGTAGACAACATTGAGGATATGAACAGGTTCATCAACACTGTAGACGGTGATACTGGACGAGCCTGGATAGGCCTAGAGAAGGGAGATAGTAAGACATGGCATTGGTCTCTAGCAGATAGAGAGTTTAGTAAGAAGGAGTCTTACTGGGATAACAGAGAACCAAATGATCAGGAAGGGGAGGAGGACTGTGTGTTGATGGAAGACACTGGTACATGGGCCGATGACACACAGTGAAAAATGTCACTTTATCTGCTATGATGGTAAGCCCTTAATCAGACAATAATAAACACTGTATATTGTCAAATATTCTACCGATATCTGTTGGTCAGACATATACACTAGTAAATCTGGGAACTATGATACTGTAGTAATAGAAATTGCAATATATTTGTAGGGCGACCCAGCCTCCGAAGTGACTCTTATCAACTGCATGCAAGGATTCCTGTGTGTTGTCTTAGGAACGCTGCATTATCTCGCCAACCCCCATACAGTCTCACCTATGAGAAGCAGAGGTTCTGTTGTCATTACCTCGTGTAGGTCTAATATCTGATTGGAGGTTAACTTTACAGTAATACTATTGGTCAACAACTCAGAGTTTGATACTTATAAAAGGGTCTTAGATTCATTGTTCTTTCTCTTTTTTCTTCCTGACCTGCGCTGGTGAGATGCCTACAATCTCCCCCTCTCTCTCTCCCTCTCCCATGAGCTATGGGCCATGGTTCAAGCCATGAATTATTTGTCTCTCACTCTCCCTCTCTGACCATGCTTAGAATAATGCCTTGTAATGCTTGTTAATGCTTTGCAACTTCAGTTTATGCCTTGTATGTGAATTCATTCATTTTACAAAGTAATTAAATATACTTGTATTCAGAATTCCATTCTCAGACCTTTCTTGATTGCCTATTAATGTAACTAAACTATAGTCTCTTTGCATATTCCTATTTATTTTACGGCATCAGATAAACATTTGAATAGGCTAATTGCATAGTCTAATTGTTGGTCAGAACAGCCTCAATTTATCGGGGCACGGACTCTACAACGTGTCGAAAGCGTTCCTCTGTCATGAGGTGACGTCGAAGGAGTCAGGCGCAGGAGGGTAAATCACAGAATAACAGGCTTTATTCCGCAAATACAGAGTAAAGCAGTAAATCCACAAGGTACTGAATGCCACCCCACCCGACGCCTCGAATTCAGGATGGAATGGACAGAGTACGCCGGGGCCCCCTCGATGTCCAGAGGGGGCGAAGGAACCTCCCACACCTCAGACTCCTGGAGCGGACCAGCCACCACCGGCCTGAGGAGAGACACATGGAACGAGGGGTTAATACGATCATCTGGCGGGAGTAATAACCTATAGGTAACCTCATCCACCGCAGGAGCTTCGGTCTGGCTCTGATGCCATGGCGCCAGAACCGGCTGATAATCCAAAACACATTGAAAGGGCGATAGGTTAGTGGAGGAGTGGCGGAGAGAGTTCTGGGCATATTCACCCGTACCACCTGCCCATTACTCTCGGGGTAAAACCCAGAGGTCAGGCTGACCGAGATCCCCAGACGATCCATGAACGCCTTCCCTGGATGTAAACTGGGGACCCCGGTCAGAGACTATGTCCTTTGGCACCCCGTAGTGCCGGAAGACGTGAGTAAACAGGGCCTCCACAGTCTGCAGGGCCGTGGGAAGACCGGGCAGAGGAAGGAGGCGGCAGGTTTTTGAAAAGCGGTCCACAACGACCAGGATGGTGGTGTTACCCTGAGAGAGGGGAAGATCAGTGAGGAAGTCAATACACAGGTGGGACCATGGCTGTTGTGGAACTGGTAAGTGCTGTAACTTACCCGCTGGGAGGTGCCTAGGTGCCTTACTCTGGGCGCACACCGAGCAGGAGGAGACATACACCCTCATGTCCTTAGCCAAGGTAGGCCACCAGTACTTTTCGGTCAGGCAGAGCACTGTACGACCGATACCTGGATGAGCAGAGGAGGGTGACGTGTGGGCCCAATAGATCAGATGGTCACGGACAAGAGACGGCATGTGCTGCAGCCCAGCTGGGCACTGAGGTGGAGATGGCTCTGTGCGTAACGCCCGCTCTATGTCTGCTCTACTACCGGCGCCACAATGCTGGAGGCCGGGAGTATGGGGGTGTTGTCTATGGGCCTCTCCTCTGCGTCGTACAGCCGAGCCAGTGCGTCTGCCTTCACGTTCTTCGTACCCGGGATGTAAGATAGTGTAAAATCAAACAGGGTGAAGAATAGGGCCCACCTGGCCTGGCGAGGTGAACAGAACCCTCAGGTTACTGTTGGCCCTGTCTGCCTCAGCAGACCAGCGGAGCCGGGACGGCCCACCCTTCAACAGAGATGTGATGGGAGCTGCGACCTTGCCAATGCCCCGGATAAACCTCCGATAGTAGTTGGCAAAGCCAATAAAGCGCTGCACCTCCTTAACCGTGGTTGGAGTCGGCCAATTACTTCCGGCTGAAATGCGATCTCCCTCCATCTCCACACCTGAGGTGGTAATGCGCTATCCGAGGAAGGATACGGACTGTTGGAAAAACAGACACTTTTCTGCCTTGGCATAAAGGTAATGTTCTACCAGTCAGGCCAGCACTTTCGAACCAGGGACACTTGCTCGGCGCGCGTAGCGGAATACAGCAGAATGTCATCGATGTAGACCACTACACCACGACCAAGCATGTCCCAAAACTCCTCGTTCACAAAGGACTGGAAGACGGATGGAGCATTCATCAAACCGTAAGGCATCACGAGGTATTCGTAATGCCCTGTGGTTGTGCTGAATGCTTTCTTCCACTCGCCCCCCTCTCGGACACGCACCAGGTTGTACGCGCTCCGGAGATCTAATTTTGTGAAGGAGCGCAACCCATACATTAACGGGCAGGCCTCTCCCAGGACGTCCTCTAGCAGCCAGCAGGTTGTCCAACCGGATGGCCATGTCCACCAGTTGGTTGAAGGACAACGTGGTGTCCCAGCAGGCTAGCTCCCTTTGGACATCCTCTCGTAGATGACACCGGAAGTGGTCGATGAGTGCCCGCTCTTTCCACCCGGACCCAGCCTCTAGAGTCCAAAACTCCAGGGCGAAGTCCTGCGCGGTCCTCGTCCCCCGCCTCAGGTGGACCAGCCGCTCGCCCGCCTCTCTACCTTCGGGCGGGTGATCGAAGACGGCCCGAAAGAGGCGAGCCAACTCCCCGTAGTTGTCCAACGCGTGGCTCCTCCTTCACTCCAGACCGTGTTGGCCCACTCCAGGGCTTTGCCCGAGAGGCAGGAGACGAGAGCAGACACCTTCTACCGCTCCGATGGAGCCGGGCTGATGTTCGATAGGTATATCTCCAGTTGTAGGATGGCAGCTGTCCCATCGAAATCCCATGGTCGGGATATAAAAATATAAGATATAGTATAATTTACACATAATTATTTCAATTGATATTGAATTTGGCCATCAGTGTCCCTTAAAAATAATTCGGAACATAATGTCTATGTGTGTTATTGCAGCTGGGTTTGCACTTTAGCTACATCTCTAAATGTCCTCTGAGTTCCAATATGACAAATTCATCCTCTCTCCACATAAGCTGATCCTGGTCCGTGAGAAAAATACTTGGAACGATGCTTTGGACTACTGCAGAGAGCACCACGATGACCTGGTGTCTGTCCACTCCCATGTACGTATGTACAATACTTTACACATGAATGTTGTATATAGTTTCTTTTTGGGTGCATAATTTTTTTTATTGTACTATATGTTGAGCACTTTATCTGAGTGCGCTATCATGCTGTAGCCTCATTCGACCATCCTGATCTCATAAGTTTCCATTCTGAAACAGAGCTGTGGTCAGGATGGTGGATCAGGCTTATCATACTGTACCAAAAAAAAATACAACCAACCTTTGGTTGTGTGGCAGTAAACTAATCTGAATCTGAAGGAGATTCAGAGCTGGGTGGCAGCCAGGGCCAACAGAGCCTCCACTTCTCATGTGTGGCTGGAACTGCGCCACACCTGCACCCTGGACTTCTGGTTCTGGGTCAGTGGAGAGGGCACATGCTACCAAAACTGGGCTTCAGGACAGGGGTTCCGCGCGGAGAACTGTGGGAGAACCGGAGCGGTGGAGAGAGGAGGAGGTCACCATTGGGTCAGCCGGCCTGAGACAGAGAAACTAAATTTCATCTGCACGAAGTGACGTGAGTGATGGCAAACCTCCATATTGGAGAGTAGAAATAGTAATTTGTCCAAATAAATTTATAGAATAGCAAACAACACGCTCAATCCAAAGTTCTCTCTCTTCTTAATTAAAAGTGGGATGCTGAATCTTCAGGTTTAATGCATAAAAAAACATGAATATAAAAGGAGTAAATCTGGTGTATAACAACCAGGGTCAATAATATTGCATTGATACTTAATTTAACTAATTTTAGTTGGAATTGCAATGAAAACTTCCCATAAGGGGAGTAGCTATGTGCCCTCCCCTAAGTACTGTAAGTGCATTGTTTTGGGCCCATTTCATTTCCCTTAACATTTCATGGAAGTGAGCTTTTAGCTTTTAAATTCGTTTAGATTTTCCAGGGTAAATGTCATGACGGACTTCTTTTATTCAGGACCTTCCCTGGACCGTACCATCCAGAAAGACGACCTTCTAAGCCTGGACCATACCATCCTGACCGCCTTTTAACCCTGGACGGTACCATCCCGAAGACGATCTTCTAACCCGGACCGTACCATCCCGAAGACGACCTTCTAACCCTGGACCGTACCATCCTGACCACCTTTTAACCCTGTACCCTACCATCCCGAAGACAACCTTCTAACCCTGGACCGTACCATCCTGACGTCCTTCTAACCCTGGACCGTACCATCTTGTCGTCATACTGGTGCAACAGTATCATACGGGTGCAACATATACAAATTATGTAATAATATACGTAAAAGTCTCACTCTACTTTTAAAATCCAAACACCTAACTCTGTGTAATTTATTATTTCCTGTATTGATTTGATTATTTTCATTAAGTAAATTACAGTATATATTTGATGAATATGGTTGATGTGTTAAATAACAGTATTTATATGTTTGATCAAATATTATTGATCACTTACATTACATTTGAGTTATATTATTGTAATTAATTGGGTCAGTCTTTAGGTCTGGTAATTTTATAATTACAATTATGATGTTTGTGTTGATTTTTTGTAATGTAATATAATATTGTTAGAATTATGTATTTTTTAAGATGTTCTTTCTGGAAGTAATAATTAATGTGTAATATTGTTATAATAATGTATTTGTTTAAATATGTTTTTTCTGGAAGTAATCATTAATGTGCGATATTGTTATAATAATGTATTTTTTTAAATATGTTTTTTTTCTTTAAGTAATAATTCATGTGTAATATTTAGGGCTGTCAAAGTTAACGCGTTAATAAAGCGTTAATGCCTACATTTGTAATGCCGTAAATTTTTTTGACGCCATTAACGCATTTTCTTAGTTTGACCCCCTGAACCATTCATAGTTCAAATTCAAGCCCTGGCAGACGATTCGCTTGTTTGACAACCACTATACTAGCTACCTACTTGTATGAATGAATGATGGAAAATGCTAGTAAGGGGCTTTTAAATGCCAAATTCAATTCACTCCCAGATGGCTCTCTGGATAAAACTGAAGTCATTTGCATCTACTGCAAGGCTGAATTTGTTTATCACTAAAGTACATTGAATCTTCGTTATCATTTACAAGCGAAACACACCGTTGACGCCGGCAATACAAGTAACGTTACTAGTAGCAATGGAGGACGTCTTCGGCAGGCTAAGCTAGAAGAGTGTGCGCGCGGGAAGCCTATGGACAAGTCGACGAGCAGCTAACACAAGCAATAGCCAAGTGGATAGCTACAGCTTGCAGTCCACATTGTGGAGGACAAAGGCTTGAGGGATATCATTCGGATAGCATCGAACGGCTCAATGTATGAGTTACCCTCGAGAGCCACCGTCGTTACAAGAATACATTAGCTGTATGAAAGCGAGAGGGCTACGAAAGCGGAGGACTTGAAACATGCAACGGCTGTTGCTCTCACGGGAGACCACTGGACTTCAGTTAGTAACCACAACTACCTTGGGGTTACTGCACACCACATCGATGAAAACTGGAAACTGCATTCACACGATCTGGCCGAAATGAAGACAGAAGAGAGGCACTATGCTGAAACGTGCGCTGGGCATTTCATGGATCTAGCAAAGCAGTGGAACATTGAAAACAAAGTTACCACAGTTTGCACAGACTGTGCACGGAACATGATTGCAGCTGCGAGACATCTGCCTTTTGAACACCTGCCCTGCACAATGCACAGTCTCCAAAGATCCATCACAGTGTCCCTACAGAACAGCGGGTTCGACAATGCCCTAGCGAAATGCCCAAAAATTGACGGCCATTTCAAACACAGCCTACCAAAGGCTGCAGAGCTAAGACAACAGCAAGTTGCAAATGGGCTAAAGAAGGAGTCACTCCCACAAGATGTCACAACAAGATGGAATTCCACTCTGGAAATGTCAAGCGTGTCCACAGAAACCAACAACCACTGAGAGATACTCTGGCCCAACAGAAAACGAACATCACCATGCCAACCACAGCTGAACAGGAGAAACTGCAGAAGCTAGAGGGGCTACTGGAGCCCTGTAGGTAATATTCTTTATCTCACTATTAGCGTTTTGTATGTGTATTTGTGAGAGAGCGAGAGAGAGTGTGGTGTGTGTGTTAGAGAGAGAGAAAGAGAGAGAGAGAGTGTGTGTGTGTGTTAGAGAGAGAGAAAGAGAGAGAGAGAGTGTGTGTGTGTGTTAGCGAGCGAGAGCCGAGAGAGCGACGTGTTGTGTGTGTTCGAGCGCTCGCGCGCGCGCGCGACGCGAGCGCGCGCCGCGCGCGCGCGCGCGCGCGCGCGCGTCTGTGTGTGTGTGTGTGTGTGCAGAAGAGAGAGAGAGCAGAGAGTATGTGTGTGTGTGAGAACATGTTTCTGAAGGAGACGGACCCCTGGTTGCCCTCTAGGTTACAGAGAGCTGGTAGTCCCATCCCCAAACTACAAGGTGTGAAACAGGGAAGGACTCAGGGGGTATGCTAATTTGGTGTAGAGCAGACCTAACTCACTCTATTAAATTAATCAAAACAGGAACGTTTTACATTTGGCTAGAAATTCAAAAGAAAAATGTCCTCCTCTGTGCTACCTATACCCCCCACTAGAATCCCCATACTTTAATGAAGACAGCTTCTCCATCCTGGAGGGGGAAATCAGTAATTTCCAGACCCAGGGACATGTACTCGTCTGTGGCGACCTAAATGCCAGAACTGGACAAGAACCTGACACCCTCAGCACACAAGGGGACAAACACCTACCTGGAGGTGACAGCATTCCCTTCCCTATATTCCCCCCTAGGCACAACTACGACAACATAACCAACAAAAACGGGTCACAACTCCTGCAGCTCTGTCGCACGCTGGGTATGTACATAGTCAATGGTAGGCTTCGAGGGGACTCCTATGGTAGGCATATAGTGGGGGAAAAAAGTATTTAGTCAGCCACCAATTGTGCAAGTTCTCCCACTTAAAAAGATGAGAGAGGCCTGTAATTTTCATCATAGGTACACGTCAACTATGACAGACAAATTGAGAATTTTTTTTCCAGAAAATCACATTGTAGGATTTTTAATGAATTTATTTGCAAATTATGGTGGAAAATAAGGTGTAAACTTGTCAGTAGACAACCTAAACAGTATATATGACCTCTCAGCTTCCCTATCAAATCCAAAAATCTCTAACAGAAAACCGAAGAAAAGTAACAATGACAAATGGTTTGATGAAGAATGCAAAACCCTAAGAAAGAAATTGAGAAACCTATCAAACCAAAAACATAGAGACCCAGAAAACCTGAGCCTACGCCTTCACTATGGTGAATCACTAAAACAATACACAAATACACTACGTAAAAAGAAGGAGCAGCATGTCAGAAATCAGCTCAATGTAGTTGAATAATCCATAGACTCTAACCACTTCTGGGAAAATTGGAAAACACTAAACAAACAACAACACGAAGAGCTATCTATCCAAAACAGAGATGTATGGGTAAACCCCTTCTCCAATCTTTTTGGCCCGATAACAAAGAACAAACAGCAAAAACATAGACATGATCAAATGCAAATCTTAGAATCAACTACTAAAGACTACCAGAACCCACTAGATTCTCCAATTACATTGAATGAACTACAGGACAAAAGACAAACCCACCAACCCTAAAAGGTGTTGTTGATGGTATCCTCAATGAAATGATAAAATATACAGACCACAAATTCCAATTGGCTATACTTAAACTCTTTACCATCATCCTTAGCTCTGGCATCTTCCCCAATATCTCAAGAGAAGACTGGCTATGTGCACACTGCCCACAAAATGAGGTGGAAACTGAGCTGCACTTCCTAACCTCCTACCAAATGTATGACCATATTAGAGACACATATTTCCTTCAGATTGTCACGGTTTCGGCCGAGGCTGCCTCTCTTCCTTGCTCGGGCAGGCTTCGGCGTTCGTCGTCTCCGGAATACTAGCTGCCACCGTTGAATGTTTCTATGTTCGTTTGCTTTTGTCTGATTGTTGTACACCTGTTTCTCGTTTAGTGTAATTAGTGTCCTATAAGTTCTCGTTGTGTTTTGTCTAGTGTTGTGTGTTATTTTTTTTCTGTCGTGGTTGTTGCTAGACGTATTTTGCATTTTGCTCGGTTGAGCTGTTCCTCCATAGTTTGGAGTGTTTTTGTCGCACCTGTTTGTGCGCGCGTATTTGTTTCGCCTGCGTGCGGAGTTTCGCCTTCGGCTATTTATTGTTTTGCCACTGTGAGTATTCACTAAGTCTTTGGGAATCTACTTCTTGCGTCCTGCGCCTGATTCCACCACCCACACCCACCTACTACATCCCTGACACAGATTACACAGATCCACAAAGAATTCGAAAACAAACCCAATTTTGATAAACTCCCTTATCTACTGGGTGAAGTACCATGGTGTGCCATCACAGCAGCAAGATTTGTGACCTGTTGCCACAAGAAAAGGGCAACCAGTGAAGAACAAACACCATTATAAATACAACCCATATTTATGTTTTATTTATTTTCCCATTTGTACTTTAACTATTTGCAAATTGTTACAACACTGTATA